AACCGCGCGCAATTTTCCGCTCATTCCGCACGTCTGCCGCATCTAATTACTTGACGTGTGTGCGAACTGTCAGCGAACTCCGCGCGTTTGCATTCAGAGCGCACCTTATAACCGTTCGAACAAATTCACGAATTATTCAGCACAGCATAGCTCTCTCGTTCGTCAATTTCCATGTAATTGACAAATGAGAGCATTTCATGCTGATTTCCTTGAACAACAGTTGGAGCTTTTACGCAAAATCATTAAACGCGCACACATTTGTGTTTTGCGCAAATCTACGCGGTGTAATGAATAATGGAGGAAGGAAAGTAATTTTCGGTAACAAAACAATACAAAACTTTTGTATTTTATCAAATTGCAATCGCAAACATTCTAAATAAAGGGAAGAGTGATTGCCTTTTATCTTTTTCATGACAACGACAGCTTTTAACTGCAAATTGAAGATTTCCATTAACGTTTGACATAAATAAATAAGCGTTTGAATGAGCGTTCGATTTTGTGATAAGTAAAACGCACTGGATAAAACATAAACAATCATGTTATATGTAAAGTATCAAAATTGTAGTAAAGATCGATGATGTAAACTTGCATTTGTACGTTCTTGATATCCTGTACCAGAAAACGTGTGCTTGTGAAAGGTGAAATATATCTAATTGTAAGTTTCACTTGCAGCTACAATAAAAAAGAGTAATGTAATTTCATTATGATTTATTTAGCATTAACATTGAATGTCATCACGATTGCATAAAACATTCAATACGCGATAAAAGTCGCGCAATAAAAATTGTTATCCTGTGAGTGAAGATGCAAATACGAGAGTTTTAATGAACGCATTTAATTTCTTTCGAATTGTAGGTAAGTCAAATGTAAAAACGGGTTATTATTTTCTTTTTAAGGGGATCCTAAAGCCGTCTGTATTACCGACTAAATTATATAATTTTTGTATAACAAATACTTTTTTCTCTTTCACAGATTCGAAAATTCTTTTCCAGGATTAAAGTATACGCATTAATACGTGTTTGTGAGGTGGAGTTTATGCCGAAAATGACAAAAAATTTCGAAATTGATATATTTTTTATCATTTCTTAGTGTAACATGGCGTCTCAAGCTGTCAAGTCGTAACAACATTTGTTTGATACGAAAGTGTTGCAATCTATTTACGAAATAGTGATCCACAAACACGTAGTTTACACGAACAAATAATATCGAGTTCTTAGAATTACACTTAGACGCTTTATCGCGACGAATTTGTTATACGAAAATTGAGACGAATATGCGATAAAGTGTATCAAAGGTTGCGTGAGATATTGGTGTGGTAGTAAGTATATCACCCAAAAAAAAAAATATTTTGCCATTTAGCGGTTCCGTGTCAGAGGATTTTCCATTTATATACGTATATGACCTCAAGAGGATACTCTACAAAATAAAGGAATTTCGTATAACCTTAAAGTACTGGATTTAGGTTTGCGATCCTCTCAATAAACTAATAACTAAAAGAATATCTTGTATGTACTGACATGCATGCGTACTACTGTAGCACGTAAATGACAAACCTCTTCTAACAAGTAAGCGTGCCGCTAGTATTTTCTGTATCCTTTTATTTCAAAAGGCTATTCGAGTTATATTATAACGTACTTTAAAATAGAATTTTCTATAGAGGAATTTATTTTTGATCATAGCTCATATGTCCTCATTTTTATAGATGAATACATGTTATAAATACACGCACCTGATTAATGTAAAATTAATGTAAGATTTTTTGCTTAGAGGAAATACTAAAAGGAATTCCCCGCTTATCGGCAGAATATTTTTTTTTTTTGGGTGATAAAGACATGTCGGTGCGCTGGAAAAACAGCGACATCTAGTGACTTTGTCGGAATTCGAGTATCGCTTTAGGATCCCATTAAGGGGATGGAGTGACCAAATTATCGACATTATAGAAAAATCTTTTTACAGAATTAAAGTAGACGTAAAATTAGGAAGAGATGCAGTGGACTTTATAGTAAAATTGAAAAAAGTTAAAAACTTACTTATCTTTTTTTAATTTTAATATAAAGTCTACTGCACCACCTTCTAATTTTGCGTCTACTTTAATCCTGTAAAAGGCTTTTTTATTCCGTTCAGTTAATTCAAAGATTTTTATACAACTGTAATGTCGATAATTTGGTCATTCCAGCATTCCCTTAAGTAGTTGGATTCTGATCAAATGTGGACGTGCATCTAAGAGTGCCACGCAGAAAGGCTGGTAAATTGCTTGCACGCTGTATTATATCATATAAACCACCGATTGATCGTAATTAAAAATTCGCAAAGATACGCTAGTGTAATAAAAAATTCACAAACGTGTGTTTTAATTCATCTAACAATAAGTAAGCAACATAAATATCTATCGTATTTTTTAACAGAATAAGTTTTAAAATCACTGTGATAGCTTTTGTATAAAATATTACTTTTCGAGACAAGACTGACTGAAAATTATTGAAACAAAGAATGATTATTGTAATCGGATTACACAAGCAAGTTACAAACAGGTTTAATCAAATACGCTTAGGCGGTAAAACGGTTTATTATTATATCTCCGACATCGCGACTCGCACACAACAAAGACGTTGGCACATTAATTACGCTCGTATTAATGTAAAACACGCGCGTTGCATTGTTTTGTTCATTCTGGAATTCGCCCGTTGAAATGCGCTCGTTAAACGATTTGGTGATGCTGTAAATTTCCAATTGCTATGCATAGCCGCGCGATACATTCGAGAAACGGAACGTATCAAAAATTATACAATATCATCTCTATAATCTCGTTATGTTCCAGATTGTTCCTAATTGAAAGAAATAATATAAATGAAACTGATTTAGAAAATTACAAACATGTAAAACAATGTAATATTATCAATAATATTGACACTATTATTTAAACTACGCAATTTATAAAAGAAAATCGTAAGAATTTTTTTTCGCATTTGTAGAATTCGTTTTTAACTGATTTTGTATAGAAATAAGTCACAGATATATGAATTGAGTTTTTATTTTTTTAATTATTTAAACAGATCAGTTTTTGTCATTATTAATAAAATGAAATAGTTAGTTTTCGACAAATGAGAGAGGACGTCTCTTTAGGAAACCTATGCCAGTATCGACGACTTTTTTTTACTATAGTTAGCAAGATTTGTCTTCGCGATAATTACTTAACATCATCCGCTTTAAGTGCTGGCGAAGTGATATTTCACATAGTAATGTAGCTGTATCGAAATTTAGTTGTATTGAAATTTCGCCGCGGCAAAGAATCTCATTCTTTTTCGGATTTACAATAAGAGGCACAAAATAATCAGATTGGAGTGGTTTGTTATAGAAAAATATCTGTTATGCATACTATATGTGCTTCGGGTGCAACTCGGGAACGGTATCCTTCGGGAATTCGGCTGGATGAAAAGACCACTATTGAAAAGGCGAGTGAACGCCGAATGGATCGAACCTCGGTGAGGAATTGAATTACGTTTCGTTAGAGCCGGCATAATAAAAGGAAGATAATAGCTGGCGGTAAAATGGTACATCAAGCGTAGCTGATATCAGGGATGGTCTGCCTGCAAATTACAGGCGTATCATGCCAATTTCTCGTTCGTCTATTTCTATTTTATATTTCATGTTGATCAACTCGACAAGAGTATTTTAAAAAAAGTAATCATTTTTTCATGATTCTTTTTTATCAAATTTTATTTTGTATTATATTTCCCTTTCCCCTATATAACAAAATTAATAAAGCTTCAAAATACGTTAATAAAAAAATATGAAAAAATAATGAAATGTTATTAATGAATAAAATATGAAAGTTTTTATCATTTAATTTTACACTGAAATGCTATACTCAGAAGCAACTAATCGTGATAATATTTTAAACTGAAATAGCGTTGTTTAATTATATATTATAATTTGTATAAATTTTGAAATAATTATACAAATGAATTAATTATAAAAGTGAAAAGTTATTGAAAAATAGAGTAGCATAATAAAAATATTTTTCTATTTGTAATTAATTGATTGCAATTTTTGCCAACGACAAGGCAGTTAACGAGAGGGTGGTCGAGGTTTTCTCACAATCGACTGTAATTCGAGTTCGATCGCCTATGAGGCCACCAGAGAACCCGCCTTTTAAACGGCCTGCACGTTCTGCCTTTCATCTTCACGAGTCTTTCCACGCTAGATATTACGCTTTTTTGTAGACCCAGCCAGAAAACGCGATGCTGCCGGCGATATCAGGCTATTTTTACGTCGCCAGATGATCATAAGGTGAACGGAAAAACGCTCGCGAAAAACAACAGTTATGCGGACAATAAGTCGGCAATGTGCTTCGTGTGTGTGATTTACACACAGTTTATTAAATTGCCCATTTTGTTCAGAGGAAGTAAACAAAATTTTTGATTTATCCACATATTTATAATTAAAAAATTATCACATAAATGTACGATAAATATTTGTTACAATAATTAAGATTCATATTACATTGCAATCAGAACAGAGTAAACATTTTATTTTGTAAACTTTTTAGTTCTCTATTTCCCTTTTATTCTATTTCTCTAGCTTCTATTCAATACGAAGATATAAAAGCAGAATAGAAATAAAAGAAAATAAAATTTGCTTTTATGCGTGTGTATACGCAAGTCCATAAAATAGAACACAATCAATTACTGACATCAAAATTGATCGATGAGAGAAAACAACGGCAACTTAAATTTAATTTACTTAAGCGATCGAGAATTGAAATTTATTACGAACGATTCGGCCAGAAGTATCGCTTTAATTTTAATTTCCTGTACGCACACGTGCGAGAAGATTAAATCGTCAGTAAAGGATATATCATGCGTCAAAGGGTTAATGTACTGGGATAAACAAAGGTCGGGTGTATTGCAGCAACCCTAGGATAGTAGGATAAGTGATCGGCGCATGTATACGGATTATCTTGTTGTGTGGATCAGTTATGGTATTTCTGACGGACTTACCATTGATCACGTGCACGTTGACACTTGCTCTCTCCGCCACGGTAGGAACGCAACTGTACTTTCCGCTGTCAGTGAGCTTCGCATGCGTGATCCTCAATCTGCCGCACAAAAGGTAATACAGTTTATCGTTACGTTGTACGTGGAACGCGTAAATTACAATGCATATCTGATTTATGTATAATAACTATCATTAAATCGGTCACGATAAATAAAATATAGAGTAAAATCACTAGTTGTGGATCACTTTTAAAAAAAGAATTCATATTTTTATCCAGAACAATATCAAACAATTAATAAAATATTTAATAGTCATGATTGATCATAAAGATTACATTATGGATGATTTTATTCCATTTAATTACAGTTTTATATGTTTTAATTTGAATTAAATAAAGTAATGACAATTATCCACAATTAGACCCCATATACTAATTGCGGATCAATTCATCAAATTCTTTATCCTTTTTGATGGCGTTATTACATCCCGTAAAAATAATAAAAATGATTGCAAGCATATCGTAATATATATAAAGAAATTATAATTAATGATCCCCATATCTAGTTCTAGAGTTTAATTGTGGATAATGATGCAATTTTAATATATTCGAGTTTATTTAAAATTAGTGACAATTAAAAATCAATGATAATTTAAAAAATTGATGAAAATTAAATGTTTAGCAATAAAAAACAGTTAAATTACGAATAGTAACACTTTTTGCATATAGACATGTATATTATTTTATATTCTATTTTGATACTTAAAACAAATAAATCTTTTCGGGATGGCATTTGTAAGATTTGACAAATTTTTAAACATTTTTATAACAAATTTACACAATAAAAGTATCGTTATAACATAGTAATTAAACCCGCGAACACATTTAATCTTAACTGAGAATAACATTGATTTTTTCCATGAAATCTAATGCTATTTATTATCTACTATAAAAGCCATAAAGCAATTCTTATGATATTACTCAAAAGTGATAAAACAAATGCTAAAGAATCTTGTGATATGTACCATTTAATGAAAAGTATTATAATTATTTAAATATAAAAAGTGATTAATGTCTGATCCATATCTTGTGTAGGTTTTATCCTAAATTTAAAATTAAAAAGTTTCTAGATAACAATAAAGACTGCGCTGTTTTTACAGTACAAAAAATACCGCTTTTGAAGAAAACAACATTTAATGTCATAAGAAAAATATTACGAAGCCTCACCGTTTTTACACACGCTGTATATGAATGAATTTGCATTTTATTGTATTAATAATGAATGTTGAGCATTTAGGTAACTGAGTAAAGGCAAAGACTCATTTTTTATTTCATTTTTCTTTTATTAAACAATTTATCTGCGCATATTGGCTTCATTAAAAATGTGACTTAAATTAAAATTAGGGAATATTAATCTTAATCAAAAAGGAAAAGATATGACAAAAGAAGTGACGTATACGGAGCCGGAAAATTACTACTTGATCGTTAGGGATGCCATGTATGGAACTAGCTATTTGAAGCTTACTTTGTGAAGAATTTTCTTTCGTCTCGCTTCGTATGCTATCAAAGAAAAGTCATTTTCCACACACAAGAGATAAAAATATAAAATTTTCTAGAAAATATAAAAACAAACATAAAATTAACTGCAAATATAAACATTTTCATGTATAAATTCGATAAATATATATCATTCCGCTATTAAAAATAGCGGAATGATATATATTTGTATAAAATGATATAAATTTAATAGAATTAAATGTATATTTCTAGAGAAATTAATATGCATAATTATACTATAAAACTATTACTCATTCTTCATTTCATAATCTGCAGTATCATGAAATTATTCCACGTTAATATAAAATATTTAAAAGTATTTATAAAATTTTCATTAAGATCGTAATCGCGTTGTGTATATGTTCTACATAATCGTTTTAACGTCACGTACTTTAGCGGCATATAGTTTCAGAGTAGTATAAAGTACAGGATCGTATATAATAACACAACTAACAATAAACTATCGTTAATTTAGTAATAATTATCCACGAATAGCAATAGCGATCCAATTACCTGTTCTCCTCTCTGCACAGTGCATCACACATATATTTTTGCCGAAAGTATCTTTATGCATGACGTAAATTTCATAATTTGCACGATCTCCGAATGCAATTTAGAAATATTTTTATATTATTAATAAATTGTGCAATATAAAATAAAAATGACATAAGACATTTTTAGTTTGCAATAAATGTAAAAAATTGCAAATTTCAAGAACATACTAAACAATAACTGATAAACAAAATAATAAAAAGATAAAAATTGTAATTACTTAGCTGAAATTTATAACTTTGTAAAAATAAAAATACTATATCTACAAAATTGATATAAATAATGATCATTAAATGATAATTACCCACCCAATTCGATTATAACTTTCATAAAAATAATCATATTACAAAACACTTTTCTTCCAATCGAAATGCTAGATATTAAGGAGCAAAATTAAGCAAAGAGTACCTCTAGTAATAAAAAATATATAAGTAATGGAAAAAGCATTGGAAAAGTATTGAAAAGAGAAGCTAGGTATGCCATATCGAAAAGGCGTTTAAGAATTATTAAACACACCATAGAATCAGAATAATTTCTATCACTTTATCGGAAAATTTCGTAATTATAAATTTTGTATTTAACTACTTTGTCGTGAGTGTCTTCAGATATAAATTTTATAGCTATATATCGTAATAGTCGTCAATTTTTCTCACTAGGAGGTTTACATTGCGTTCGACCAAACTTCAATCAACTCGTTCAACGGTAATAATCGAGCAAGCTGGAGAGAACAGAGAATTTTTTTCATTCTTTTTCCATTTTGTTTGTTAGACTCGTTACTGTTATGTAACAAATTAGATTAATCGGATCAATAGAAATTGGAACGAGCTCGAATTCTCGTGGTGTATCGCATGGCGGAAGGCTTTTGCGAGTGCGATGAGAACGCAATTCCTCAAATATGAATACGGAATATCGATCTGAACGCTGGATACGTAACACTCTAAAAAAGAATCGGATAATAACTATTAAATGTTAAGTGAAATAATTCCAATCAAATATTTGATTAATATAATCAAAAATAATTTTACTTTTCTAAATATTTAATATCAAACGGTTGATTGTGTTATTATTATATTTGGTAACACCTATTAAATATTAAAAAAAATAAAATTATTTTTGATTATGTTAATTAAACATTTGATTAGAATTATTTCAACATCTCATAGCTATTACCAGACTCTTTTTTTTCACAGAGAGCAAATTGCAGCCGAACTCGATGCGGAGATGTTAATAAATTGTACGGTTGCCTTTCACTAATCGTGAGAGGGATAAACACGTAATTACACGCGCGAGCGATAAAATTGCAGATATGCAAAAGTTAATCGACAGTCAGCTAATTTAACAGCAAACTATCTGGAAAACCGGCCCGAATATGACTTCAAATGATTCTATCAAGAGAGAATTCTTTCGCGATTGTTTGTTAATCGAATAAAAAACTACTCAAAAGTTTTCACATTTTTATTGTTTCTAGTTCAATAATTATCTTTGTTAAACTTTCAATTTGAACATACCGGGGAAGAGAGAATTGTGGAGATTTAACTTAACGCGTCTTTCTCAATGAACGCGAGAAAAGAGATAGATGTAAAAGTTTGAGAAAAGTTTTAATTAATATCATCAGTATACAAATTGTCGATTACAAATATTAATAATTACCATCTTTCATTAATTATTCTCATCAGTGTATTTCTAATATTCACGTACTGTTTATAATTATCGTTTTTAGATAAGAAGCGACACGTAGTTTTGCTGGGTACGTAAGATATACAAAGACAACAAGGATATTCGTTACACGATATATAACGTCACGTGAAGAAGCGCGCCGCTCCCAACAGATTATCGATTACTCATTTACTTCCCGTATTTCAGTAGTTAGCTTCATCGCGCAATGTAATGCATTGCACTCGTGGGACCAATAACCACCGCTTAAGTCTACGGTAACGCTATTCCACGTGCGGTTACCGCAATTCCGCGAACTGGATGTACCACGAAATAATTATTATGGTGCCAGTACGACGACGAGCCATAACGGTCGACTCGATGTAGTTCGAGAGTAATGAAAATGTATAGCAACGCTGGCTTAAGCTCCTCGACAGAGAACCACCATCTTCATGATAGAAGGAAAGATAATCTCGATACGACAGAATAAAACGTTATCCGGTTACACGTTAATATTATCGAGAGCACGAACGATTTATGCGCGTGCATGGAAATTCAGGATTAAAACCAGTACCAGGATTGAAAATCAGGTTCGTAGATTAACTCCTCGCGTTAATGTGCAATTTGAATATCTCTTTATGAATGTGAATAATGTATTTATTCTGGAAATATTCTGAGAATATTATTGTCGGATAATATGATGTTCATATAAACTCCTTATGTATTTCATTCTATTCATAAATTTAAATTTGACATGAATTAAAAAAGAACGCGAATTTATAGAGAAATTTTATTCATTTAAAAGAATTTAAAAGAAGACTGCAGAATATTTCTTTTTACGTTTAACGTTATTTGCGGAACGCCGATTACAGTAAACTCGGACATTTCTTCAATCATGTGATGAAAAATTGTTTATAATAAATATTTTTCACAACCTTATATAATTTAAATTAAATAATTTTATTCCTCATTATACTTTGACCTTCAAAATGAAAAAAAAAATCGTTCAATTATGTTAATTTTGAGCAAACATATGTATATTAATTTAAAGTAGGTGTACTAGACTCGTGAATATCAATTAAGAAAATTTTGGAGTAAATTATTAGATTAGGATTAAATGTATCTAATTTTAACAAACATGTCGCGTATGAAAATGTAAGTACTACCAATCATGTCATATCAACGATCATTATGGGAACGTTTCGCTCGCTGTACTTTCAGACAGTCTCATCGAATTTACTGAAAGCGGACGTTCGCATGACGGAAGTCGCGGGCCGACAGCTGCGCGACAATTAATTCGCTTCTTGAGCTGCACCCCCGTAAATTTGCCAGCGTGATGTGTAACGGTATCGTCGTGACAATCGTCAATCACGTCCAAAAACGGACGCGTGACGTCGCGCGGCGGACACAACAGCGACGATGGCGACGGCGGCGCAATGTTCGGACCGACACATGCGACCTGGCTGAACAGCCAGGTCGCCCGAAATGCGGGGCATGTCCGATGCGTCTTCACGGTGCGCGGGCCACGTGACAAAAGACCCTGTTGTCTCGAATCTGCCCGGGACAATTAGAATAATCAAATGTCATGTGACGCCACGGCGTCGCGATGTCTATCCTCTCCTGGTTTCTATCAAGTAAAATTCCAATAGATTACTTTTATTTTGAATTCTGAGTAGAGAAATGGGACATAAACAATAATTATAAAACACAAGTGGTTGTTTTTTCCAAATATTTTTTAATATAATGTAATTTATGTTTGTATTTTAAAGTGCATTTTCTTGTATGTCCATATATGAAAAAAAGGGTTTTATTAAAGTATCTAAAGATTAGTTACAGATACACAGAGATCTGAAAATAATTTTGTTGGACTATCAAAATAATTAGGTATGTAGGTTATTCAAACTGATTAAAATGTCAAAACTTTATGTAACATTGCTCATTATGTTTGAGTTTCTTTTATAATTATTTTGATTTATTTTAATTAATAATCATTCTTTTCGTGCAAGTTTAAAAACCTTGAAATACTTTTTTTTAAAGTAGGAAAAATGTGCACAGTACACTGAAAAAAATATAGTCAATTTTAATAAATATTTAGTTCAATACTGCCAACTAAAAACATTTACTTACAGCAAATAAATATTTGTTCAGTAAAAAGAATGATTGTTAAATCAAAATGTTTCTTGTATCAAATAAATATATCTTTATATTTAATAAATAGTTGGTATTGAACTAAATATTTGTTAAAATTGACTATATTTTTTTTCAGTGTAGGAAAATGGTACTTTATGCAATATTTAAATCTTATTTCAAATATTAAATAATATTAAATTGTAAATATTAAATTTTAAATGAGCGCGAGCGTGGCATGGCAGACAGCGCACTGGTCTATCATGTCAGAGCTTCCGGGGTCGATCCTAGTAGGAACCAAAATATTTACGTTCGTGTCTTCTCTCGGAAAAGGCCGGCAACCTCCCGAGAGTATCCTTACCCACAGAAATACCTCTTGAAAAATCCACCATTCGGAATTGACATTAAAATTGTAGGTCCCATATGTGGCAATTGAATAATTAGCGTGCGCATCACAAGTATATGAGAGAGGTGTAACACAGATCAGAGGCCTAATAAAAGGAAGAAGAAAAAGAAGAAATAAATATTAAATTTCATCGCGCATATTCACTTTGCTATTTTATGCTAAATAATTATATGACATTAGTAATACCTATAAATGTTCTAAAAATTACAGGAAAATGGGATTTACAGTATTGAATTTAACATTCATATTATATACAGCGCGTAAACGAGTTGCACAATCTTTAATGGATGGAATAAATTTTCTGTCATCATTGTTACCAGCGAATGCTTTGACAATATACGTATCGCATATTTTTAAGGTAGTTGCAGTCCCGTAAAGCTATCTCGAAATAAATTAATTTGAGCGCGGGATCAGTTTTTCAAAGAGCCACGACGACGTGTAGGACCGGCGGGACAACCACCCAGCACGCCATTATTTCTCATTATTTCCCCTGGGCGCGGGAGGGGATAAGCGGAAGACCATTTATTTATTTCGCCGGCAGCTCGAAAAAGATATGGTTACAGCGTGTGCGATGAAATATTATACACGCGACGCTTCGATGAAAGGATTGTTGAGAAAAAAAAATGCTTTGACGAGGAACGGTTGAAACCAATCGCGCTTGACGAATATTTAACATGTTTAATAAAGTCGCAAGAAAAAAAGTAGATGAATGTGATTGATATTACATTTTAATACTTCATGACGTTTTTCAACTGTTCGTCGGTCGAGCTTATTTTAACGCGGAGTAAGCGTGTTATCGCATTGCGAACCCTTGGCTGAACAATTTTACAAAATTGCAGCTTGCATATCGTTCAGGGTGTAATGCCCGCCTGGTCGCGTTGTAGAATCCAGCTTTTAAAACGCATCAGTGATGCTGTGACAAAAATTGAAATATTTAAACTACGTTAAAATGTGACGGCCGCAAATATATGGCGCACGTGATCCTTATTTTTTATTTATTCGATGTATCCGCCTGACTGGAGCCGGTGTAAAAAATTAAATAGCACTTCGTATAACAATATCACACGGGTGCGCACGTTTATGAGAGTTTTCTCCGTGCGGAAGTGATGACACTGAAATGTGCGACAAGCACGACGAGTTTTTTTTTGTATTTTGTTCATAGCGTGCAAACAAGTTTCGCGTTAACTAAGTTTTTGATATTTAAAATAGAAATCATAGTATACACTGTTGCGAGAGAGATACACAGTCGTTAGTATATGAGGTTTACTTATGAAACGATTGATCAATTTTCGATCGACAAATTTTTATCCGTTTTTTTTCCTATATAGTACAACATATATTTTTCTATGCAAAGTGAAATTTTATTATATATTACCGGTCAAAATTATATCATCTTTCGATTTTTTGAGCATAACTTTTGTCAAAGTGAATTGAATACGTTCAAATTTATACAGTAGACACTTGGTGGCAGATGTACCTTGTACGTAAAGTATAATGAGATTTGATGTACACCATGATTTTTTAATCTTTATTAATTTTCCCAAAATCGCATTATTGTACTTTCTTTGCTTTTCATGTTACAGATGTAATTTTTACTGTCATAACTTAATTTTAGTAGTTCGATTTAGTGTTTTACATTATGACAAATACTCGCGGTGCTCAAGATATAGATGAACGACAACAAAAAGTCATCGTAAAGAGCCACAAACAAGGGTGAACGTACATAAGAAACTCGACCAACAATTTTGTATTTTCAAATCAACAGACGAAGTTTCTTAAGCATTGAAAGATCTAGCGAAGCTATATTAAGAAGAAGAGCTGCCGACCATATTACGCTACTTTTCTCGTCAATAGCAACATCTTTCGCATATCTCGTAGCACCTCACATCGTATGGCGCCGAACATTGCTGACGAAATATCGACTTCTAAACAATTTAATCTAAGTATACACTCTAAATTTCTTGCAGTGAAATCTCACTCCAAGAGATGCAACCACCCTTGAAAAAAAGTGAAAATATTTCACTTCTTGAAAAAAGTGATCTTTACTCTTTTTAGAGTGAAATCTCACTTTTTTTTAGTGAGATTTCACTTCTTTGAATTGAAAATTGTCACTCTTTTTCAAGAAATGAAATATTTTCACTTTTTTTTCAAGGGTGATTGTATTCTCACTTTCTTGAAGTGAGATTCACTGTAAGAAATTTAGAGTATAATTATTGTTAAAAATGATAGTTTCAAATCAAGTGTAATAATTATTTAGAAAGTAAATGGCTTAATCATTCATTCGTACCTCGACGTGAGGGCGTCACTCCATTCTGTCTCGACGGTTATGCGGGGCTCCGATTCGATGTCGTTTTCTGATCGCGGTGATGTCACCACCGCCTCACTTTCTTGATACCAAGCTACCGTTCCCAGATCATGGGGACCTTGCGACATGACACACGTCAACGTCAAAAGACTTCCGGTCTTCACGTAGATATCAGCCTGGCCGAGTATTCTGGCTCGCGCTTCTGCAACAGAAAGCAATTTTGTGTTCAACAATAATATCGTAGTTCCAAGAGTGTCATTTAACTTAAATATCGATTAAAGATTCGCTCAAGAAGACTCACGAAGTTTAAAAACATCCTTGCACATATCTGTATACACGCGCCCGATAAAATATCGCTGCACCTGTTTCTCTTCAGGAAAAATACGCGATTGTCCATCACGAGAGATTTTGCCATCACGAAGTGCAAATGTAATTTTACAGGATATAGCCAGACACAAACACATAAAATAGCAGCGTGCGGGAAAAATAAATCGGCGAGAGACAGTTTTAATCATCGGACGTTCGTTTACGCGAGTTTACACGTGTTGCGTCGAACTGCTCGATAAAACTATATCACGATGTAATAAAAGGTGCGTGATTAAGTTGAAAAAAATTGATGGCGAACCACAGATACGGCGTTATTACTGGTGCAGCGGTGACCGATTAAAAGCATCGATAATTGATAAAACACGACCAATTATCTATAAGCGATTTTATAATAGTTGCATTGGAAGAATATTTATTGTATATTTAGAAATATGCATAAGAATACGATGTATATTTTGTATATTCCGTATATTTATAACAACCGCAAAATAAATAATAGTTATTCTTTTTGTGAGCAAGCTTAATAACTTGACAGTATCTTAGCAATATCTTCGTAATTTCCTGTGATATTTTAACAACGTAAAATTACACATTATTTAATTATTTACGTAGTTGAAAAATTTGTGTTAAATTTTATACATTTCATGTATCCGATGCGGTTTACTCAAATTTTTGTGTTATTTTTTTAATACAAGATGAATATGTAATAAAATAATATAAATAAAAAAATTAATACAAAAAATATGACACTGACACAATTTGTAGCAAACTGTGGAAGCATATTTTTTTCAGTAAAATTAATATTTATGGTATGTTAAATTAACACGTATTTTATTCATTTATCTCAGAATTTATGTTTCAAAATATATTATATTATTTTTATGTTATTTGATCATAATAAAATATATTATTTTTATGTCATTTGATCATTTGGCTAAATTATGTTATTTTGACGCTAAGAAATATTGAATATCAATGTAACACAAAATTTTAACAAGGATTTGATCGGTTTTGACACAAATATAAAATATTTTTTGATGTGTATCTTTATATTTATTATAAATTATACTTTTTTATTCATAATAAATTATTTTTAATAGAAATATCGATTTGCGATCACATCGATGCATCATCTGCATAAAGAGACTTAAAAAACGTCGACGGTGCACCCCGATGATGTTCGATCGATAAGTCACACAGCACGACTGTCCACCTTTCATCCGGAGAATTCTCCTCGTCACGGTTGGCCGTTCGGATTTTATATCACATTGCGATGACTGGGCGCATTCTTGCGGAGCTGTCATCCCGAGTCATAGAACCATGTCTCGATTCTATCGCAAGAGGTAAAAATGGATGTGTCGAATTTGAAAAAGATGCGTAGCTTGGCTTTGCGAAGCGATAAAAAGGTCACCCAAAGGCAAACCATCTACATAACCAACTTTCGTACCAATGGCACAATATTATCTTTGAAACGCCGATATCAAGCAAGTGATCGTACATAATTTTGTACCGTTAATGAATCAAGTATAGCCAGTACAGCACAAAATGCAATATAATAAAAATAAATGATCGGTTTATCAATAATTCAATAAGCATTGATTTGAGTCCGTAATATTTATATAGAAACGAATTTTTATTATAAGTACTTTTTCATGAAATATTTTACTAAAGTAGAAATTTTACTAAACTTTCATAAAAAATTTTGTTACTTAAAGAAACAATTATGTGACAGTTAATTTGACGTATGTGAGAAAAATTTGCCAACTATCGAAAATTTCTTCAAATGTTCATCAAGGAAGTTCTTGTAATATTGAACTATTCCTGTTGCTAGATATCATTGCCGCTATATTACACGGGTTGACGGCGTCGTTGACGTTTCGAATATGCTGTCAAGATTAGAAGGGATAGAAAATCTTCACAACTTTTTTTTGTTACTGACACCACTAAAAAAAGTGCTCTTTTTTCTCTTCTTAATTATAATCCAATTTTACATTTTCAAAATAGAACTGTGCAAATGCAGATAAAGATAAATATTTTATCGTCTTATCCTTGTATTTAATTTGGGCTAATATATTAAGAATTTGATTAGCATTTTTTTTAATTAAAAAATACTTATTTGAAGAACACATTAAATAATGATTAAATAAATTGAAAACAGATCTTCTTCACGAATAAAGCTTATATCTTAATAAGAACCAACATTTCACATTCTATGGATCGTATGAGTCGTGCTTAAAGCGATAGCTTTTCCATGTTGTCCACGTCTTACCGAAAAGTCTTTTACGAGATTTCGATGAGGTTCGACCAAGTTTTACTGAAAGATCGCCGTTTGTGATGCAAAAGATGCGCTGACCGTATTCTGACAGGTCGTTTTTTTCCACCTCGAAAGGCCATTACCTTTACATTACGCTGTATTGGAGATTAGTTTCTTTGTGACCCGGCGGCGCATCTATCTCTCGTTTCCTACTGTCTCCTACATGGTGTTTACGCTGTTCTAGATCGATAGTCTATGATGGTATTTTGTACGAAGCAAGTAGGAAACGATTGTGCTTCTTCGAAGTTTTTGTACGCAACACGCAAACTTAAACTTACCGTTAATTCATCGTCGTATTTCACGAGTAATATAAGTCGATTTTCAATTTTCTCTTCCTTACGAAAGTAGTTTACGTACAATAGCAAAAAAAAATTTTTTATTTAAAATTATTTTTATATTATTCATTTATACATTTCATATATGAATTTAATGCTAATTAATTAATATAATTTTTGTGTTAAATTTAAGTTTTCTTCTCGTCAAAATTTTCTAAAAACAATCCGGATGCTTTTGTTTTCAGAATTCTAATTGTTTAATGTTTGGAACAAAACATAAGCAAAAACTATGATATCTGTAATTTTGTTCAGAGATTATTTCTTATGTTATTTTGTTTTTCGACCGACTTTTCATCCACCGTGTAATAAGATAATTTTAACGAAACAGAAACCTAGAAAGTTACGGCTTTGCTTCAATGTGTATCTAATTGCACCCGCGTTACAACTGTCAGATACATAAACACAGCCGGCTGGCGTTAATGGAAGTTCAACGTGGCAAATAATCGATTCCAGTTTGCGCAACATTACGATGATGGAGATTACGCGAATAATTCTCAGTTCAGTTACGTATCATCGTCGGCCGGCGTACTTGCCAGGATAATTACTTCGCGCAACTTGTGCTCATGTTCACGATAATAACAATACTAAATTAACGCATTTGTGTGGAAGAGAGGTAATAATTATATATGCGATCATTTCATTTGCATTGTATGTTAATTACAAATTAATGTTATAAAAAAGCAGCAAGAGAAAAAGTAAATATCTTTATTTTTATATTTTATTTATTTCTTAACTTCAATATTGTATTTTTTATCAAAATTAAAGATTTGTGAATACTTGATGCATTTGGATCTTTGAAATATTTTTTCGAGTCTAATTGAATTTAACTTGATTCGATAATATAAAGATTATAAATTATATTACATAAAATTTAGCTGTTTAAGTATAATATTATGTTATTAATATCTACATTTAAAAAATTGATTATTCAATATATTATACATATAACAAAATATTCTTAAAGTTATGAAGTAACTGGATTTCGCAACTGCTAAGAAAACAGTGACTACATACAAGAAAGCATCTATATATTCCCAATTAAGAGCTAGTTACTATACATGTGACGTTACTTTTACGTAATTGTTGTCAAACTTCATTAGCCGCATTTTCGTTATAACTAATATTATTGCACAGAGATATGTAATACCGCGCCTCTATCCATTCAAGATTACGCATTTCACGATCTCCGTTGTAGCTTGTCTCCAGGTTGTTCATGCGCGTGCTTGCTATTCACAGTATAAGGAGAAATTGTGTCGGGTCTGAGTGCCAGTATAGTCGTAGAGAACAGATTCCAATTTACAGCGCGTAGGAACAAGGAGCTCTTAGATGCAGCTAATCCGATGTACGGAATGGCGTACACGGATGTATCAGCCGTTTAAGCTGCTTAACGTCAAAGTGACTTGAGATGCCTGCAAGTAGTAAGTTCAAGTGGGTGTAACTTGTTTTATACCGTATGACACGTGTTATTCAGACGGTTGCAAATGAATACGCTCATGCTCGATGAATGTTTGGCGTTAGAAGTACTGATGACATGTCGACGTAGCAAAATATTGCAGTAGGGTGAATGCACCGTTTGTGGCCACCCATTTTGGCCACTTTTGCTGTTCATTAGGTTCTTCTAGTTTTGGTTGGCTTTAGTGCACAGTAATCACGATACATGCGCGTCGCAATTATTTTTCTTGTTTAATAATGTAACAAGTAATCTCACATTTCCTCTTTCATATTATAAAAAAATTATTTTCTACGAAATACACTCAAGACATAGTCATCTTGTAAAAAACGATAAGACTCTCCGAAACGCGATAAGTAGAATAATTTATCAATAACTACATATGACACAAGTATAGCAGACAATAGTAGCCATCAAGTAATTAGTAGTCAGTTTTGCAACTATTTAACTTTTTCATTATACATTCGCTTTTTTCCTTAAAACTTTTTTGAATATTAAAAACTAAGACATTAAACAATAAGTAAATAGTACCTCCTTTTTATGTATTATTTAAAAAAAAATTCTTAAAGTTATAGAAATGCTTAAGGCGGCCACAGATGGTGCATTCACCCTAATGATTAACAGTATTTTCTCAACGTTTCTATTGTTTCCAATTTATCATAAAAAATTGACGGCTAAATTTCAAGTTGTTTTTCACAGAAAATTGATTCTAGGAAACTGAAGCAATTTTTTAGAAATAACAATATTTACACACTCGATTTTATATCGACTTTTAA